CTTTTAGGTACATGTTCATAAAATCGGAGATGTGCCCTTCTTTCTGTTCTCCCAATGTAACTACTCCCGCAGATACACGTAAATTTGTATACACAGTTGGAGTTAACATGAGAAGGGTATCTGTCGAATTATGATTGCATCAAACAGCAAGTTGTCCGATAGACGGGAACCAACTTAACCAGCTGCAGGATAGGCTGTGGCTAGTGACGTACTCAGTCTTCTGTTGACCATTTCTGTAATGTTTTCACCTTTAAAATCAAGTTGAATAAAGACAGGCTTTTTCCCATTGCGATTTGTTTGATATTTGAGCTTTCATATCTTCCATATTTGTTAATGAATCTTTAATGGTAACTATTGTTTTTTGACATCTTTTCGAGGATCATGAATTCTTCCTCTAATTTCTTTGCAGTGCATGTTCTCCTCACCATTGGATTCTTTTCGAGAGGCTTGATGGTCCTCCACAAATCCGCCTTGTAGGCGGAAAGTTATAGGTTCGAACTGCACTAGGTGACTATTGCTGAAGAGTCCCAAACAGGGATAAAAAAAACTGTCCAAAACTCCATGGTTTTCAATGATTTTCTATTCAAAGTCAACTTGTGATTGAAATTGAAGTGGTTTTGTTAGGTTGTTGGTGAAATCCACTCGAAAAGGTTTCAAAAGTCTCATAGGGATTTCAGAAGTATTTCCCATATATGGTAGGTCGATTTTGTTTGGGCTTCCGTTGGTTGTCTTTTAGTTGCTTCGTTGGATTAATGGTAATGCATGTTTTGAGGAAATTTCTTAGATATCCATCTCCTTGGAAGATCATTTTGTCTCCTCTTTATTACTAGTATGACTTCATTTCATCTCTTCTTGTTAGCTACAATTTTGATTTGATTTCTTGATGTCCCGAGTAGAATACAGTGTTTCCCGCTAGAACTCTGAATCTTCGGTAATAGTGCTTTTATTTTTATGGGATGGCGTTGCTAGCTTCACGCCTAATCTTCCCTCTTTACCAGATTTATTACCGGCTCACCAAGGTCTAGGAGTAGGTTGACCCGAATGGGATCAATCCTCGGACCGGGTAGGTGAACATTCTAACTGTGAACCGCTGATGTCACTGTTGACTACATACAATTCACGAATGTTACTTTATACCTGAGCTTACTTTCTGAAACATGAACTTGAAAATATACACAGACGAAAACCAATAAGTTGGCAGAAATGGTAACCAAGACACGAATTCAGGTGAATATAGGAAAGACCAAAGTGATGGAAATACCCAGCGACGCACAAATACTATTCACAGTCAATGAGAGAAATCTAAAGGGTGTTATTCCTTTCAATTATTGCGCCTGGGTAAACAGCAAAACAGATGAACATTTCAAAGTCAGTCAGAATTGAGAAAGTAAGGCAAGCATTCATTACTCTAAAATCAATATGCAGACCTACTGCACTCAGTACAATAAACATGATCTGAATTTCTAACACTGGTGTCAAACCAGTTAGTGCTTCTGTATGACTGAAAGATATGGTGCACCCGTCATTAGAAGCATTTTCAATAGCTGAGTTGTTGAATGAAAGTTGTATCTGTGATTATTGTCTTCCTTTCTAATGAAAATTCTATTTGTAAAATATGTTCTTAGTATGTATATCTATTAAATGAATGTGTCCTAAATCGTCCTATTGTGGTAATGTTTTGAATTCGATTACCCTGGATAGATCTTTAATGTGTCAGATTAATCGCCATACTCATCGTGTGAAGGCCAATGATACTATCCGACTGCTCCCAGATTGAAGTATTTGGAGTGTGATTTAAACCTACTTGGATCCGTTGACTGAAAACCGAGCTCTTAAGCGAAATAAGCCACACACATATAGCAGTAATACTAGTTTTTTCTATCCATCGATGGACATCATGTTTGGTGGGAGCACACGGTGAATTGATTTAATTAATCAGTCGATTTCTAGCCAAATGAGTTTTGGGCTTGGCTCTCAACTATCCCAATCGCCAGCTTTAGTGGCTGTATTTGGTGTGAAGCCTTGTTTCTTCGATTGTCAATTGTCTCTGAGATGCGCTACATTGTTCTTGTACTCTCTCTCTCTCTCTTTCTATCACTCTTTCACAGTTTTATTCTACAAAGTGTTTATTCTGCTTTTTTCACATTGATGAAGCAGTAGAAGACGAAGACTTGTTAAAGGAATGTTTATTTGCGGAAACTGATAACTCTCCTCACACTACCATCTGCATAGATCTTCCGTGCTGTGCTACTTCTTTCCTTAATATTGTGTTTGTTTGTGTTTCATTTCACGTCTCCTATGTATCTATCTCCACGACACTGCATTGTTTGCATTTTCTTAAATCAAATGTATCTCCCTTCTATTTGATGTTTTATTGCCGATGAACGTCTCTTTATGTATCACTGATAAATCTTTACCAGTAGCAATCACCACAGCAGTAATAGCAATTAAATGTGGAAGGTTTCATACCGCTAAAAAGATTTCGATTGTCTTTTAGTCTACTAGAAGATCGAAAGTTAAGGTTATAATCTTTAAAAATAGCTCCAAAAATAAGAAACTCATACATATTTAGAAAAGAAATTCAGCAAAGAATATCCTTTTCGATAATTTCCTCTTCGGGCTCTACAATTTTTATATATGTATATGCATAGATATTTATATGCACAGAATATTCTAGAATGATCGTCACTAACAATATTGGTGTTTTTAAACACCATTGATTTGTTAAGTAACATCAATGAAATAATCACAGTTCAAGAAAGATGCATAAGTTATAATAAGCGCTGAAAAATGTACTACTACATAGAATATCAAATAAAATTAGGGAAATTTCCACAACAAACTGACAATTATTGAAACCTTGATTGACGGCCAAGAGAAGGACAGTGTCTGAACTGACCAACATCTTTAGGATACATAAGTTAGGTTTCATAAGGTAGACTCCAACAGTCAGCCTCAGCAATATGTTGTAGACGAATTGTTAAGGTGAAGTTAAGATTAGTAGGTATACGATAGATGACTTTGAAAGCCTCCTTTTTAACATCACTTCTCTGTTCTGTATCTATGAGATGAGATAGAATAGAGCCATGAATTGATTTCCTTTGGGCCTTACTTAGCCACTTTGCAGGAAGATGTTCGGAAATCCAACGATAAGCACGCTTCATTGTACAGCCTATGCGACTATCTAGTTCACTCCACCGGTACAGTGAAATTGGTAGATACACATGGAAAGCGGTAAATTAGGCAGTTTACCTTAAACTACTCCCGAACGCGAAATAGGCGTGGTTTTGAAGACATGGCATAATTCATCAGCACTAAATACTCATGGTCGTTGCGCATTCCTGAGGCGTTATGTTAATATCTATCTCTCTTGTGTTAACCCCGTGGAAGTGGTATTGTAAGAATAGGGTCTTTTACGAAACTTTCGATACATTCTCTTGCCTTGACTTTCGATTCATATTCTTACAGACGAATTTTTATGGTTAGCTGTTCTCATCCAGCTCTTTATTAGGACATTCATCAGAGCAGATTGTTGTTGCTATGTGAATCAAGTACTTTATTAGACTGCATTTGTATTTCAAAGACAAAAAGCTGACCAACTGATGTGCGTTTCCTATATACGCTTCTTCTTAGTGTGTCATCCTCTTCTCTGGTCATAAGAAAATCTGGGACTAAAACACTAAAGTTTATTTCTTTTTCAATGGTAAAATTTATTACAGGATGAACCTTGTTTAATTTATCCAGAATGTTCTTTGCTTCATCCCGATTTTTCATAATCACACGGGAAGTCTATGAGGTTGGACTGAAGATTTTCTCATTATAGTATCCAGACATCGTTGACTGTTCACAAGCATTCTACAAACTTCCAGTCATTGCTACCGTTATGCATATCATAGAATTTCCAAAATAACAACTGAATTAGTGCCTTATTTAACAGTGCTAAGCTAGTTAAATAATTATATGATAAAAGGAGACTGATATGTGGGCGGGAATTAGCTACCAAGGTGACACTTACTCTGGACATAAAATACTCAGAGTAAAATGAAAAGAAAGCCAGAAATGCAGAATAATTCGATTAGGTGGCCTCCATATTTTAAACTATCAGTCCAAATTAACTGAAGAAATGTATATTTACAGGTGGGATCACGAGTTGACATCATTTAGAGAACCATTTTTAAATCACAGGAGAGTACTTGACAACACTTTCGTCCCACTTTGAGACTCCTCAGGAATTCTCACCCACTGAGGTTTGAATTCAGGAGCTTCCAGTTACAAGGCGAGTTCATAGACCATTCATACAGTATGTGATCTGATCCAATGCCTCCTGTATTCAATCTTTACCAATTCGAGATATATTTAGGACAATTTCTATCTATCATAGCATTCTTCAGTCGACAGTCGTTATCATCGGGAGGAATTTAAAGAAGGTAGCCCCTTTCTCCGATCTATTTATTTTATTTTTATATTTCATTACGGCGTCAGCAGGGGATCGAACCCCGGACCATGTACATGTTCGGCGAGAGTCCTAACCACTGTGCCACCGACGCACACATCGTCTCCTTTACAAACATCGTGCACGGATGACGAAATCAACGACAGTCAAGATCGAAAAAGCAAGACACTCCTTTCTCAATCTAAAATCAGTCTGCAAGGCTAATTAATGCACTCAGTACAAAGAATAAGGTTAGTATTTTCAACAGCAATGTTAAGTCGGTCAGTGCTTCCAACAGGCGACTATAAACTCCTACCAATAGTTGTCCACTTCTCTAGCTCCCTACTGAAGACCAGACAGCCGGCTAGAAAGAAATAGCAATAAGAAATGAATCGATCAAAAAGAAAATGGAATTGAAATGAACCCGCACACACATACACGCACACGCCAAAGTTGAACGTCATAAAAAATTCTTTGAATCGTTTTCTAAAATGTTTCTTGAAATAAAAACTTTTTAGAAATATTTATTTTAACTAAAACTACTTTTAGAAGAGAAAAAAAAATTGAAGGAGGATGGTCAAGGAAAACCAAATCAAAAAAAAAACAGAACAGAACAAGCATCAGTAGCGATAGCAACACAGCCGCAGAGGCAGTAGAGGCAGCCGAAAAAGAAGAACAACATAAAATTATTGAAATAAAATACTTATTTTAATAACTTTTAATTTTTCTTGTTTCTTTTCACTTCAGTTTTTAGGCGAATTTAGATAGAATAAATTCTAAAGTTCTGAATTCTTAAAGTCATCAGCTGGAATAATCAATGTTGGGTATCCATCGGGTGTCCATGATAGTCAGTTAAATGTTTAGTTAGACAGTGCATGTGAAGGTGAAAGAGGGTGTTCTTCATTTCAGATTATCGTCAGTTTGCAAATTAAATCTAAAAGAAATATGATTTTACTTTGCTCCACTTTCGATTACATCCTGATTCTCAACTTCTTTTTCTTCCTTTGATTCCAGCAACAGAGTAGGTCAGCAGAGAGATTAAATAAACCGGTAAAAAAAAAAGAAGTAATAATGATACCATATGTTAGTTATCAAAATCCACGATTTAAATTTAGCTCATAAAATTGATACCAGTTTAAAGAAACATTGAATAATGTCATGGAATATTGAACAGCCGTTTTGTACTTTGGGGGGGGGCTTCATCTAATTATTATTATTGTTCCCTTGGGTTCCCTTGGGTGAAACATAGGGCTTCAACTGCACGTCTCCACTTGCCACTTCTGTCTTCCATCTGCTGTACTTTTCACCGGCATCCATGTTAGTCCATACTGTTTCAACTCCTCCTCTTCACACGATCGCCTCCATGTCACACTTGCACTGACGACCCACTCACCGCTTCCCTTTCGGCTTGGTTTCACTCGAGCAATGGCCTGACTCGCGCGCGATGTCACCCCGGGGGCCTCTCCAGCGAGTGTCTGATCCATCTCCACTTTCTCCTGCATATTTGTTGGCCGACTGGTTCTTGTTTTCTTCGTTCCCGTAGTTTCTTATTGGTGATTGTTTCCGGCCCGGTCATCTGATTGATCTTCAGTATACAGAGAAGACAGTTGTTGATAAAGGTAACGTCTGCAATTGGCTGTTGGAAATATTCTTTGTGAAGCCAAGTTTCTGGTCCAATCCGTATAGAAGAACTGACTGACTTGACATTGTTTGTATTGAAAATCCGACCGAATTTTGTTGTTGATGGTGAGTTGAGTGACGAAGATTTCCAGATCAGATTGGTTTCAGGTTGATGAGTGAATGTGTTTCTCGCCTTCCCGATTGTCGCTCGATTTGGCACTCTCGTCCGTTCCTCCCCTAGTTGAGACAGTGCTTCCTAGATGATAAGTGAATGAAGTAACCTCTTTCTAGTGCCTCTCGTTGATGGTGATTGACGCTGGATGTTGCTGCTGTTGTTGTTGTCGGTTGGTTGGTTATTTTCATAACTTCCGTCCTTTCTATGTTCACGTGAAGTCCTGTCTTCGCCGGCTGCTTCTTCGACCAGTTTGTCGGTCGGTTTTCGCTTGTAAGTCTTCGATTTTGTGACAGTGACATCAAACATAAATCATCCACGCGCGAAATCCAGGTCTTCTAGGTTCTTCACGTCTGTCTGTGCAGGATATCCCTGTCTTCTCGTTTCCCACTCACTGTCTGACGCATAATCCAGTCAGTGCACCACAATTAGGAATATCATTGTGAGGGATAATAAGAACCCTTGTCTGACTCCTGTGTTTACTCCAAACGCCTCGGTGAGTTTTCCGTTGTGGATCACTTGACATCTGCCGTTGTCGTACAGCTCTACATCTAAAGGTAGCAGAAATTAGGATTGATTGAATCATTGGATTCTCTCTATTAACGGGTTGAGGGTCAACGGGATAGTCTTGTAATCTTCAGTGTCCAGATTTTGATCTCCAGCAAACGGGGGTCTTGCATGTATACCACTGAAGAGTCCCAAGCAAAGGCGAAACAACTATCCAGTTTGTTTTATAGGTGGTTTTCTAATCGGTGTGTGTGTCAGTCAACTTACTTCAAATATATATTAGTTGTTTTGTGTAGAATTATAGATATCTTTTTGTCTGTAGACAAAATTCACGCTTTCATTTGATCTAAAGAACTGTTACAACGGACAAGTTTTTTTGTTGTCTGAGAAGTCATGATTTATATATGTACTGACATGATCACCTGATCGTGCAGATTTTGATTCGTTTATTCTTGGCTTATTTTTTCTGAGGGATTTAGATTCCATACAACCAATCAGATATGTTTATTTATTTGTGGCTTAAATTCCTAAGGTTTTGTAAATATGATTTACCACATATTTTGTCAGATGAAGGTTGTTGTTGTTGTTGTTGCCGTGCTCGTCGTATCTGTTCCCCAGTCTGACTTTTCTTTCTCAGCGTTGTGTGGTGATTTCAATCGATCACTTGGTTATAGTGTCATGTCTTGACACCTATTTTAATCAAGTTAGACGAAAACCACAAGTCGGTAACACTCCGCCATAACACTAACAGCTATACTATTTATTTAAAATTTACATAATTCAAATCCGTATTGACCATATACGGCATCGAATTGTTTAGTGAAATTAAAGTATAAGATTTCAAGTTGTTTCATGAAGTGGTATCAGACAGAGAAAGGCTGAAAATCACCGGGGATTGGTGGATAGCTGGAGGTGGTAGTATGCGCACTGCGAAGTGGTAGAAGAAGTTAGGATTCATGAGCCATTTGTTTAAGCCTTGAACATAAACTGTCAACCGGTATCGTCTTGTAACCTGAAAGTACTGGGGCTCGATTCTTGATGAACGGGTGATTGTTGCGTACTGATGAAGAGTCCTTAATTGAGGTAAAGCATCTATCCAGCACTTTCTGGGCTTTAGTGATTCCATAACTGATACCACTCCGTAGTGTAACTTGGAATCAATTCAATCCTTGCAAGTATTGGTTTTGTAGGAATTTTGTTTGATTGCATGGAGGATTTCATCATGAGCTGACACATCAGTTAGAGAATCATTGGAAAACCACCTCTGTTTTATCCTAATTTGGGACTCTTCAGATGCACGCACCCACACACGCAGTAACTCATCGAAGAAGACATTGCGAAATGGTCGCGCTATGTCGTGAATTGGCAGGAGTTAGAATTCAAAGACCATTGGATCGGGTCCCAGTGGCTCAATGGTCTACTAGCTAGCTCGTCTTGTAACCAGAAGGTCGTGGATTCAAACTGTGGTGGTGGGTGCGTACTGTGAAGAGTCCCAAACTAGGCTGACGAAACAGCTGTCCAGTACTCCTTTGCAGGTTTTCCAATAGTTCTCTAACTGATGTCAGCTCATGATGAAATCCTCCATCCAATTAAATCCTTGCAAACCAATACTTGAAAATCAAATTAATGCTCATGGTTATTCTCAAGGAAGCTCCATTAAAGTTGACCATTTGCAATCTACAAAGTGCCTAGATGGCATCTTCATCATTTACGATAATCGTTACGACCCCAATCAACTGCTACAAGTAGCTAACAACTGAGATGAGGCAATAAAATTCATTTTTGAAATGTAGAGCGAATCCGAAATTCCCTTTCTCTGTGTGGAACTAACAAGACTATCTGACGGGACCTTGAGAAGGCTACTACATAGGAAATTCACTTGGAACTGCCAAATAACTAGTTTCTACAGTTGGACGCCTGGTGAACGAAAACGAAATCTAATTAAATCCCTTGCCAGTATAACCCGACGCAATTGTAGTCCTGAGGCCGTAGAAGCAGAACTAGTTCTTCTGAAAGAAACCGTCATTTAAAATAAATACCCACTAAGATTCACTGACGAGAACATCGAACCAAAAATTCAGGGGGACGAAACATTACCTGTATCAAAAAAGAAACTTCACATGAAATTGGATTTCAAGGTAGAGTTAACTTGCATTATCCTTAAGAGATGGATTTCAGCATCTTTGAGAAGGACATTTTTCGCAGAAACTCTGACAGTGGTGTTCTGAAGAAGTCTTAGGAACAAGACATTGCATCCAACCACTATTGTGTGCACCTGTTGCTACCAAATCAGGTAGACTGGTCATTAAACGCGTATCCTGTCTAAAAGGGTTCAAGAAGACTATCCTACATGATTGCAGAAGGATAACAGTGACTCTATAAGGAATGAAATAATCAAACACCTTGTCAACCCTTGTCATTTCATCTCAGCAAACGCCTCATTCTTCAAAGTAATCTACATAGTGAAGAATAACCTACCAAAGACAATACTCTGTCATCTTCTTTGCAATGTTGAAGCTTTAGCCATTCAGTTACAAAAACCAGAGCTATGCATACAGAAGAAAATTAATCAACCACTCCTGCCATCATAGTGTGGTGAGAGCAGGCCGTGAGAAAATATGAGCAAGGCTGATTCAACAACCAATCACAGCAAAGTTAACGTGGCAAAATATGATTCGCAGATAGAGAACTCTATTTGTCGAGGAATCCCGAAACAACCAATCAGAAGCCTGCGTTTGTCTGCCTAACTTCTGATAAACAACCAATCAGATGACTGCGCTTGTCTACTTGCATAAGCTATAATAATGTATGTGAAATATGTATAAATACGTGTTGATTTTCATAATAAAACGATCTGTTGCCTGGCCCTTCCTTGTCTTCTGTTGTTACAATAGTAATAATCTTGTTGATTTCTGTTTGCTTATTTGTTTTTCTAACTCTTGCACTTCTTTGTGACTGTTACATAAACCCCTTATTTTCCTTCGTTTCTATGTGCATCCTGAATACAGCTCAATCATTAAATTATTCATTTTATTACGTATCTCTAGTGTACTTAATCAACTCCTCTAACTCATTGATTAATATTACCAATTATGTTTGTGACACCTGATGAAAAAGTTGTATTTGAATGAGATTTTGCAGCTAAACGGAAAAATGAATTTGCCAAAAAGAGCCTCTTCGCTGAACTCTGCGTTTTGTTTTCACAAAATAAAGTGCCTGGAAGTCATATGCAGAAGTCAAGGTCAGTAGCATCCAATAAGTAGGGTTTGGGGATAGATATTCGGCCACTGAACATTATCTGCTAATGGAGTTTATCACAAAATGACAGAAATAAGAAGTGATTAGCTAGTCATTGGCTGAACAGCCTTGTGACCTAAAGGTCGTTGGTTTAATCCTCAGCTGAGGAGTAGTGTTTGTGTGTGTGTGTGTGTTTACTGACAAAGAGTCCCAATATAGAATGAAACAGCTATCCAGTATTCTTTGGCGGTCTTAAGTGGTTCTCCGACTGATCTCAGTCCGTGGTTTAACTTCCTATCCATCAGTAATACTGTGATCAGGCGCCGTGTGTTAGATAAGGAGGGATAATCAGTCGATGAGGCTGTGAAGCTAGATCTACCGAGGGACATGTGTTACATATGATGAAGCACCATCTTCCTCATCAAGCATTGTTAGATTATATAAGATTTATTCTGAAAAGAGTTAA